TTTATTATGATAAAATTTTTACTTTTCTTTTAATTTCCACTAGAACATGTTTGGAGTACATAATGATTCCATTTATCTTGAGGAGTTGATATATGCACATAACACATCTATAAACACACCTAATAAGTATCAGAAATTTTCAAAAAAATTAAGTATCTAAGTGAAAGATAATTTCTAATTTTTTCAAATTTTCAATCTTCCCTATTTATATTTTAAACTAAAGGAGTAAAGAGTAGAAATAACAAAAGAAGTATGTGATTATTTGAAGATAAAGTGTAAAATTTCTATATAAATTTCAAGGAAAAAGAATGGTTTCTCTTCTATAAGGCATCTGGAACCCCTACATTCACTGAGAAAGTGTCAACACTCAAACAAACTCCTGACACAATATGTGGTTTCCTACTCCTTATAACTCATTATTTGAAAACAAACTGTGTGCTTACAGAAGGAATTTGTGACAGTTATGTGGTTTTATTTATTTGGTAGCTAAACCACTAAAGGTAATCTAAATGTTCTGGTTATTACTGATACTTTAAGGGTCATCCATTCCCCATAATATCCTTTATTTAATATGTGTGGTAAATAATGGAGCATAGCATTCTATATTTCATCTGGATATACGGCATTTTATATACATTTTACTAAAGAATGTTTATGGATCTGTGAATTATATCCTTTGTTGGTGTTTCTGGCCTAAGAAACATAGTGGGCAAATCTCATGAGACAAATACAAATTGTGGTTATGTTTCCATCAGTATGGAAGATATAAGTATAAATACATAAACACAGTACATAGGAAAGGCAATTTTCCTGTCCTATGTAGCTTGACTTCAGAAGAATTATTTGCAGAATTGTGGAGGGAACAGGCAATGGCGATGACTCACCCACTAAGTCAGTTGGTGAGTGTTAGACATTTGTATTTCTCAGAGCTGATTCCATATAAGCACAAACTCAAGCCAAAAAGGATTAGTGTATTTTGTTGTGGTCTCTGAGAGCTCCAAGTACAAATAGCTGTGACTCACCTCATAGGAAGTTGCCTGAATGTGTTGGTTCCTGTCCCTGAGCCTGAGAGAGACCTCTCCGTCAGGCCATTACCTATGGCTTAGAGCCTCTGGTCCTGTTCTCTGAATCTCTTGCCTGGTGGTTTGTAGGACAAGAAGACCTGGGCCCTATATTTGCATCTATCTTTGTATGCTATGACTTTGAGCAAATCCCTAAATTATTTTGAGCTGCAGTTTCATTTACTAAATGGTGAAACTATTTTAGTTGCTCTGCAAGGTTGTATTAAGAAGCTCACAGCAGGTAAAGTAGAAAAGTTTGTTGAATTGTAAAGTGCTACACAGGCATAAAGTATCAGTCAGTGACTTTCCAGCCATATGCAGTCCAGTTGTTTGAACTTTAGTGATCT